GTGCACTCCTCTCTCTGCTTCCAGTTTTGTCACAGTGCAGTTCTGATCCTGGTGTTTAGGAGGCTTGACTTTTGAGTCAGTTGATTAATTTCTGGTTCTCTTCTGCTTGATCAAAGATTACTCCTATTTGACCACAGAGGAAATTAAATCTTACTGCTTTAGTATTCCTTTTCCTCTCCCTTTAATAGGCAGATCTCAGTTTAAAATATTGAAGGCTTTACAGTGTAAGTGAAAAATAGAATAAGTTCCCCTTGAGTCAAGCTTTATTCCTGATTACTGCATGGAAACATCCATGTTGTTTTCTTGGCAACAGTAAGGAAGTTGTTTTCGTCTTCCTTCTTCCAGGATATTGTTTGGCTTCACAGTCTAGCCTAGGCCTCTGGGATTCCCTGGATGTCTTCCATCCAGATACTAACCAGGTATGACCCTGCTTAGCTTTTCTCAGATAGATTGGGAAATTGTAAAAAAAATATCCTGGAAGACATCAGATGTTGTCAACTTCCATATTGTTGCCAAGAAAACAATGTGGATACATTGGCAGTCAAGAGAGACACAACTTTACCATTAGTAGAACTTGACTGATTGGTTTATAAAGTAGCCCTGATTTTTTTTTTTTTTTGAAGTAAAACTTACACACAGAGCAAAAGAGGACTATGGGAAGGAGAAGGCTGTCCCAGATCCCATTAGCACCCCATATCTCCAAATGCCTGGAGCATTCAGTCAAATCAGATGCTCTTTAGGTTTTGAACTCCTTTCTCATCTGAGTCCTTAAATCATTTGGTCTTTCAAAGTAGGGTTCGTGGTATAAATACTGGATGGCTGAAGCTAGGATACTGGTGGAGAGCAGAAAAGATGTCCTTGGTATCCCAGTCAACAGGAAGAGACGCTGGGAGGAGAGGGTTACATTCCGAATGTTTAATTCTACAGGACAAAAGCAATTCAGCCCAGCAAATGGGCCCAAATCCAATCATTAAACTCTACCAGAAAGTGGAGATGAAGGGGTCCATCTGTAAAATCTGCACTCCTGTTTAATAAAGGGTGGGAAGGAGAAAAAACACAGCTGCTTGGCTGGTCTGTGCGGGAAGGAGCGCCTGACTGTTGGCACCATCTGTGGCTGCCTTTGTGCTTGATGCTTGATCTGTTCATTATAGAGGGATAGCGAGCGTCTCGTGCTCTGAGTGTCAATGAGAAGAGATGTGCCTAAATACTGCTGGGGCCTCGGCAGCAGCAGCTAAGCCTGCTGACGATGAATAGCGGAATCTGTAAGCTGATTTTTGGTTTGTCTTGGCATATTTCAATGGGTGGAGGATAGCCTTCAAATGCAGCTGCACCCGATCGAACTGTGGGCATTCCTGTATTCCATTTATCCTGGGTCATTTCATTGATACCAGTAAAGCAGGTTTCCAGCCATTCCTCAACCACCGGGGGAAGGTGCTAGGATGCGTTTCTGTCCTCCTTACTGTTCAATCACCATTAGAGGTGGACCTTTTGCTCCTCCTGCATAGATCTTCATAGACAAGTTCCTCTTGTTCTGGGCCATGCTCTGTATATGAGGTTCTTAGAGTAGTAATAGCAATAAATACATTACCTTTCTGATATTAGTACTCAAGAGAGCTCCCAACAATAAAACCAACTGTACAGTATGAAAGGTAGCTGTGAAATGGATTCCATTAAAATCAAAATTTAAAATCAATACCCTTAAAATGAAAGAAAAGTTGAAAGTTTGGTGAAAGAGTTGGCATTTTGCCATTTTCCTAAATACAAGGAATATGTCAGCCTTCAGAGTAGGCCAGATCAGGACACAGACAACCCAAGAAATGCTAGGACTCTCCTTTATGGATATAAGCTACACTAAGTGAAGCTTGGAAGCCTGACTGTGTGTTCTCTTTCCTTCCTCTTATACCAAAGAGAATCGAGGCAGGGCAATCTTGAGTTTCTTTCTCACACTTTCTTGTTTTCCCAGGCTAAGTTCATGTTTTGTTAATGATTGTCACATACCTTCCCAAGGTCATCTCTGTGCTCCTCAGCAGACATTAGAGTAGCAATGCACTTCCCCAGGGAAAGTGATCCATAGCCTGGGGGCCACACAGAAGAAGACCTGCTGCTGATGGCTGAGCTTCTGGAAGTGAAAGGATCTTCAAAAGGGCCTCTGCCATCAATCTAACTAACAGGGCAGGTTCATAGATGGGGAGGTTTAGGGGTTTAGAAGTCAACAGACACATTTTCCATTGTTCCCAATAGGAAACCGATAGCCAATGCTGCTCTTCCATTTCATCCATGTGCTTTGCACCCATTAGCACCTTGGCCATTACATTTTGCACCAGTTGTGCTTTCCAGACACTATGCAAGGACAGCCACATACACAGTGTGGTGCAGTAGTCAAGACGGGTGATAATTAAAGGCTAGGTGACCATCGCTACGGCCAACCTGCTCAGAAAAGCATATTAACCTTTGCTGCTTCTGTTCCCTTCCCTTTTCCACTCTGCTCACCCATTCCTCCTCCTTGCAGATTTGTCTTAGAAACCATTAGACTATTTTTGCCTTTTTATCTTCCTTTATCTGGGGTATTTTGTGTACCCTTATAAAGAGCAACTCACACCTTGCATCAAAGCTGTAGTTAAGATGGATGGTTTCCATCTAACACCATTGTAATTGCATTTGGCTGGTGAGAAGGTGCTTTGCATTGGCAATTGTTCCAGCACCGGCTGCGTTTACAATTGGCCAGAATGTTTTGTTCGTTCCTTTTTTCATCCTAGTTTTCCCCCCAGAATTCAAATGGCTACAGTACAATGTTAGGTAGTGATCGTTATCTGCAGTGGCTGTGTAAAAAGGAGTGAAAGGAGGGAGGTTGAATAGCCTTTGTTGCTGGCACGTTAGTCATGATCTGCTAGGGATAAAAGGTGAGCACCATTTGATCAAACATTGTTGTCAGACTCCTTGGCTAACAGAGAAACCGTTTAGAGCTGTACTCTCTTATAACACATCACACCGGAACAGAATGGGAATACACCCTATAAGGGCTTGATTTCTACAGATCCAGAATGACCAGCTTAATGGCTTGCGGGTTGAGTTACTCTTGTAATTATACTCTGAGAAAATTATTTCTCAGTCGCCTTCCCAAGTAACAGTATCTGGATCTCTCTTTTTTGCTGAGCAGGCTATGCCTTACTGAGGCAATGGTGGGAGCCCCAGGTCTGAAAATTGGGAAGCCTTACTACAACCTTTCCCAAATCCACCACTCTCCAGACATGTTGTTTCTGTTGGTTGGACAGGGATGAAGTTTCTGGTCCAGTGTCTGGTAGGGAGAGGGGTTGGAGAAGGCCACCTTGAACATTGGGTTCTACCACAGTGAAATTACCACTGCCTGGTTCTATCCAGCACCCATCCCTCTTTTGGGGGGGGGGGCATACTTCAGCTCATTTTCTTCTCAAAATAAGTGCTAATTACTGTTGCACCCTGTTTTCGTTACCATGTAAAGTTGCTCTGCCAGTGGATGAGAGGACAAGAGGGCAATTCCGTGGCACTCTAATAAGGAAAATATCTTTGCTCAGAAATGAATAAAGGAAGAACTTGGCTAATTTTTACTGTGTTTGGCATACTAGGAATGAATGCCACCCAATAAAGAAACAGAAGCTTGGAATTTCAAGAACCATTAATTTCCATTACAGTAAATTCAGAAATGTATGAAAAGGATAATTTTCATTATTATTACTAACTTCTGTTTTTGTAACTTTGACTAGTTATAGGTTGTTTTAATTTCATTTATCTTTACCGTGGATGTTTTTAACTGCTAATGGATGTTTTTGTCAATTGTTTTGTAAACCTCCATGAATCTGGAATTGATCCAGCAGGATACAAGTGAAATAAATAAATCCCTGGCCATGCCATTCAGAAACTATTATATCTAAAAAATCGATTCTTAAATAGGGAACCACAGCTGGCATCCCCTCGGCCAAATCTACGTCTGAGCTTCTAACCGAGAGGCAACTCAGATATCTGTAAAAACAGGACAACTGCTTCGTGAGAGCCTTTTTCAATTACATCTTGACTATCCTCCCATTCACTCCTCTGCCCAAACAATTCTCTAAGAAATAAATTAGGCCGAGCTGCAGTGATGAATGACCTTAATGGACATATTTAGCATTTGTGAAAAATATATCCCTTGGGGCATTTTTCCCCTAGACAGGAGTCACTAGAAAGGAGCCAAGGAGATTCCAACATCTAATTGTGATAAAGGCTTTTTAACTTTAGGCTATGTGGCACTGTCACAGGGTCAAGCTGGTAATAGCCAACACAAGAGAACAATGGCTATTTGGGAGTTCCAAAACCTTCCTTTGGGGCGAAAATGTTTATTCTCTAACGTGTGACATACTGTGAAACAACTCTAATTGTTTCTCATGATAATGCAATTGGGAAATGAGTTAGCAGAGACTAAACTAGCTTGGAGATTATATATTTCCAGATGACTTTCCTCCCATTCTCAACCCAGACTTTCCTCCATTGTGCTAGAGGTAAAGTCACATATGATACCTAGAATCATACTAAGACAATATTCTTTCACACATCTTTGGAGTCCAACTAAGGAATGGTGACTTGGTGGCTTTACCACTCCCTCTCATAGCAACCACTCAGAATTTTCCTTCCTTCCTTCCTCCCTCCCTCCCTCCCTCCGATTACACACAGAAACACACAACATTTAAAAAAAAAAAAGTGGAGGGAGAGCCCTGATTCTTAGCACTGTCCAGATGATCAGCTGGAGGAAACACTGCTTGACTTATCTCTGCATGTTCTGAGCATTTGGTGGTTGGTGGAAGAGAAGAATTTTGTGTGTTGGTTTCCAGTTGAGGGATTGGGTGCTGGGGCCCGCTCTTGATGGATTTGTATGAATGAAATTAAGATTGAACAGTATAATTGGTTCTATTGTTTTGATGCCTATCCCACAAATTACTATGTATTGGTCTTCCAATAAACTTCTCTCCCTCTCTTTTTTCTTCCCCCAGCACTGCTTTCATCGTGGTGTGAAGAACTGGGACGACTCCTCCTGCTGCGCCACCAGAAAAGCCGGCAAAACGACCCTCCGGGGAAGCTGCCCATGCAGGCACCCATGAACTCCATGAAACCTTCCCTTTCCCATAGGTGAGTCCCTGGCAAATATTTCCCCTGTAACATGTGCAAAATTAGTTCCCACAAGAAAGTATCCTTGTTATATTTGCCACTATGAAGTATATGTCCTTCCCAAAAGAGAGCTAGAGCGACCCTTGTGTTTTCAGACGCTTGAGTGAAGTTCTTCTGTATTTGTGTTAGTTAGAAATGAGTTCTCGCAGTCACGGTCTTCATGTTGCTGAGTTATTTCCGTCTGATCAAATATAACTCAGAATTCCAGATCTATGGAAGATTGGTGGACACCATTGTAGCATGTAGTCATTACAAATGGTTATACAAAGGAGCAAGTGGATCAAAGCACTTTGTCACAAAGCACTTTCTCACAACCAGTCCAAGCCTCAGAAAATCCCCCAAATTCCTTGAGTTGAAACCCAAGCTCAAGAAAAATTTACATCTCTCCAAGTTATTTTTTTTCTCCAACCTATGCAAGTGAATGAAGGGAAGTCTCTCTCTCTCCAGCTTGTATAGGAGGTGGAAGTAAAGGCAGGGGAGAAGGTCTCAAATTGGCTCAGAAAGATTATCTGAGGGCTGAGTTCAACTAGGACAAGCTTTAAAGAATTTGTCTATTGCTGTATGTCAGCCAGCTCTCCTTGTCAGTCCCATTCTTTGTGCAAATAGGCTTCTAGAGAAAGTATTTGGGAAAAATTAGCTGCCTCTGTTTCATCAAGGGTACGGTCACCAGTGGGCCATGGTACATATCCTCTAGTACTGACAGGTCAGTGCCTCACCCGATGTTAAGTTAATTTTATAGACAAATGAAACTTGTCATTCATATTGACAAGACATCTTCTGGGCCCCCTATGACTATTTTTAGAAAATAATAATAACAATAACAATAACAATAACAACAAAACAACAATTATAATAGCCAATGTACATTGGTGTTTTTGAAA